TTATTCTAGAGAACAAAGAAGAGGTAACTTGGGAGATAAAAGCCAATCAGATTGTAAAATCAATATCTCTACAAAAGCTGTGCCAAGTATGCAGACTATAACTAACCTGGAGGCTTATCAAGGTTGTTCAGTTCTTCCTCTCGTTCTTTTCTACCACAATTACGTTCCTTACGGTTGTTTTCCGTTTTCATCATGATAAAGGGACCAGCCACTCTCTCCGCATTGTCTAAACACGGGGGCACTTTAGTTATACCGGCTATAAGCCCTTGAATGTGGCGTGAAGCACCGCTGTTTTTTCCAACTTCAGAACCCCTTTCAAAAGAATTTGGAGTCTCTCCAGCACTATTTGTTACAGCGGAAGTGACAATGTGGTCATTAGCGGGGCCGGCTTCTCCTTGGTTGTAACCTGACCAGTAGAATATCATTTCATTCAAAAGAACAAAGAAAACGTGGCTTGACCGATTAAAGCCAATGACATCGATGAGCGTAAACAATTACTTACCCAGAGGTTTTTCAAGTTCGTCCTGTCCTTCCTTTTGATCTGTTTCACTGCAATACCGTTTCCAAAAGGTGTTTTTTGTTGTCGTCTGGATATAGCGATTCATCAAAGTCTCTGTATTGATTTCACATGGGAGCGATATGGTCATACTGTCTGTGGGCTCTTGGTTTTGGCGTTCGGCACTGCTGTTTGCTCCACCATCAGAGCTTAATTCGATAGCATTTGAAGTCTCTCCAGCGACACTCATAACAGCAGAACTGACAAAATGGTCATCTGCAGGGTCTGCTCCTTCTTGGTTTGGATGCAATGCAACATTTGTAACAGCGTCTGAAACAAACACAAGTACCTCCTGTTTGTGATGCAATTTATAATCTCCCACAGAGAAAAGTTTCACGATTCAAGATAAGTTTGCTCTGACGTGACCTTCATATATTCTTAACCGTATAAGTTTGCTCTCTTTGTCAATTCCACGCTGAGATGCCATCTCTTACCGTGGACATTTTCAGGAGCACTTGTAGCCTGATAAAGCTTCCGCGGGTGATGAATTTTTGCATTGCAACTATTACTGGAACTATTTAAGTAAGTTGCGTCATTTAGAAGTCCTACTGATTGTTCAAATATTGGGTATAATCAACATGTACTACATCTTAAATGTTTCCTAATTAATCAAAAGGTTTAAACTGTGTTGCTTTTTAAAGGTACAGGCACATTTGGTTAGCATCTTTTTCTCAGTTGAAATAGTCACAGATCATGCTATATTTAGCCGAGTTAAAAACAGATTTTTCGGCAGGAAAAAAAAACTTAACACAACAAACACACACACAAACAACTTGAAAGAAATTTAAGAAAAGTTTTGTAGGGTGGTCCATAACTGAGTTGTTAGGGTTGGGAGATTTTGGCTGTTAAGGACATATCATAAACAATTCATGGAAGAGCATTATCATTGCAAAGAAACAACTCTCGGGATTGGGACCAAACAACAGGTTTTGCTTCAAGATCTAAGGGCATGTTTCTCGCGAATATCTATTTCATTTTTTTGATGAATTTAATGACTCACTGACCTTCCGGCTCCACCTTTCAGGGTATTTTTGCATTATCGATGCACCGTTTCTGTGAGTCACTTTTATACAATTCAATGGCTGAGCCACAACAGTGACTATAATTGCTTGCCTTCTGAACTGAAGTACAAATAGTGACTATTTCATGTTTTCCAACACATTTTGTATAATAACTTTAATAACCTTCCACAAAAAAGCTCATGCAAGTTTGATGACAAAATTTTGAAGAATTTGTTTACTTTACCAGAAACCCAGTTTAAATCATCGGTCGCAGCGTCATCTACTTCTGCAATCCAGCAGACCCTTGCAATTCTGCTAATCTCCATGCTTTCTACGTCATGCAATGGAGGTTCCATATTGTTCGCAAACTCACCATCATCTGTGAACAAAGATTCAACCTTTTGTCCTTCCACTTCATATTGATCTCGTTGCTTCTCTGCTTTTGCTTGGTTCGATGGATGTGCATCGTTATCATCAGTGGGGGTTAAAGAAACTAAAGGGTATAAGGACAGTGCTTAGGTGAATCACAATGGCAACAAGGAAATTTTTATAGGGAAAAGATTTTAATAATCACCTGTTGTATCGTGGTCTTTATCCTCACATCCTGGATCAGTTATTTCACTAAATGGTGATGATGAGTTGGATACTTCATCGTCTGCATCATAGTCACGTTGGCTCTTATCACTTTCAGGATAAATTGGCGTTTGAACATCATCATTACCTGGTGTGGCCAAATAAAGCGCAAGTAACCTTAAACATTTTGTTTTAACTATTGTCCCAGACATCTAACAAGCAGATTGTATTAGATCCATAGATTCCTAGATGTAAAATATTTGATACTATATAGTTAGAGACGAGGCCAAACACAAGGCTACAAATAGCAGTTATAAGCGATACTTGCACTTGGCCGCTCTTTGATAATTAGCAGACCTATTGTCCTGTACGAGTTCGTTACGCTTATTTAGTGATGATAAATAAGCGTAACGAACTTGTATCTTCATACCGACACAGAAACAAAGCGTTGCTACGTAACAGCTGAACTTTAAAGTTTTTAAGTTTAAATTTTCCTAGTATATACACGATAGTCACATGAATATTCTTTCATTAAACCCCTGAAGAGTGAAGCGATTCACGAAACAGGCTTGTCGGGGCGCGTAGTTGCGTCCCTTTTTTCCTCTCATAATATTTATTTATTCTGCTCTGCTTCAACGTATTGAGCACTGTTCCACGCGAAAATCGACTTGCAGACTTCCTATATATATATATATATATAAAGTGTAAAATTTTGACTTTCGTAAAACAGTGCTCAATACATAGGAGTAGAGCGATGTATATATTGTGGGAGGAAAAAGACAAATAAACTACAAGTTCATCCCTACAGGTCTGTTTCGTGGTTGCCCACCATACCCTTGTTGTTTTTTTTTGTGAGGGTAAGGTTTCATCAGAGTCAGCCAATGGTTTACGTATATTTACAGGAATTTCTCGTTCCATGCGTTCATGTATCATGATGCTGAAATTTCTCATAACCTCGTGTCTTCATGTTTCAGTCGAGACTCAAAATCTACATTCTGTACACAAATTTAATCAAATCAAATGCATGGAAATCACATCACGATAGAGCATCGTAAATTTTCTCTAAAGATGAGTAGCAGTCGTATATGTCAGAGGATGAGAAAATAATACACTTACACGGTTGGTCCTGCTTTTTTTCCATGGCATGCTTAAGTTCTAGCCAATTAACAGTTTCACTTTTGTCTTCAATCCGTTCTTTTGACAACCTGAGCAGATAAGGGAACGAGTTTAAGAGCCAGTCAGTTAGATCTACGCATCGTCTCTCACAAACTGAGACAAAAACCTGCAAGTTATGATAAGTTATTTTGTGGTGTAAAGGCTCATGGGAAGTTAATTTAGCGAGAGGTTAATAAGTCTACATTTCCTCCTTCCAGGTGGCTTTTAATATTCCACTCCGTGATAATTTTCTCCCCACTATTGTTCCTTATAATTTCCTTGTATTATACAGGTTTAAAGAAAATATGAACAGAAGAGAAACAACCCCATTCAATTTTGTTTTTGGCTCCAGCATCTAATAGTCAATTTTTCATTATAAGAATTCTCTTAATAATAGGCTTTATGTGACAAAACGATTGCAATTATCTACGGAAGAAGTGAGTTTGATATTACCTCTTGTTTACATTCTCTAAGTAATTCCCTAAGATTGGATGTCCATTAGCTCTTGCAACATCTTCAGGTAGGGTGGGATTGTGTTTATAATGAGTAAATACCAGTTTTCCAACTGAAGTACTGAAAATGAAGTCCACAAATTGAAGGCTATTGTTTTGCGCAGCTATGTATATCAGCAGGGTTAGAAGTTTCACTGACTTTGAATCATCGCTCTCAGTTGTTGAGGACTTTCCTAGTTGTAAAAAAAGCGGATGAAAGTCATGGAACCTGTTCTTAAAATGAATTATAAAATGAAGCATAATAATCATTTAATTACCTAAGTGTTGCAATCATTTATCTACACTTATCTATCTACTCTCCCTGTTAGAGAGTTACGTAACCAAAAAACAGCTGCAAAGGAGAGTGGGCTTTCTGCCCACTCTCCTTTATTCTTTTAGAGTTAGTTACCTTGAAAATATCATTTCACGTAATTTTACCGCGAAAAGCAGACGGAAACTACTGTATCTCTTGTAGATCCTATATACTGCGATCTACGTTCTTTGAATGAGTGAAGATACAATGAACAAAGATTAAAGGAGTATATTCTAAGGAGGGCTCCTTGATTGGTTGTGACCTATCTGGACTTTACCCCTTGTGTGTGAAATACGTGATAAAACACAACTTGTTTACAAGGAATTAACAAGCGATGGGGTTCAGTCTATGATAGCTAAAAGCGCATTTGATTGGTAGAAAACGTTAAGATGCGGGAGAATTGCAGAAAAAAGTTCACTAACAGTAGCATTTTGTTCCATGTGAAACTTTTTCTATGGGTTGGATAATGCCGTTAGAAACCGTGATAAAATGCAGGTTGTTTAGAAGGAAATGACACGTGACGGAGCGGTTTAATTTGGCGCAATGGAATTTGATTGGTGGAATACAATTCAAGCACGTGAAAAGTTGCTCAACGTTCATGTAGTGCAATGACTGAGTATGTAATGAACAGACCTTGGACGTTGTTTTTATTGTACGTGATAATGTTAAATTGTTTGGCATGTGCGTTTCGAAGAAAGGAGCGGAAAAAAAGGCTTTTTAACTTAATAAAGCCATTGCGCTACCAAATAAGCCCTAAATTTCTGCACTTTATCACGTATTCTAACCGCTTTGGTCAACCCCACTGAGAAGTGATAGTGAATTTTCCACGCAACTATCCTGCGTTTTGACTTTCTCTACGAATAAAGTTCGCTTCTAGCTATCTTGGACTTAAACCGATCGCGTGTTAATTCCTGGTGAAACAACCTGCATTTTATCGCGTATTCCGCACACAGAGGGCAAAGTCCCGATAGGCAACAACCAATCAGGGAGCCCTCTCGGAAATATTATCCTTTTCTCTTGTTCAATATATATTCGAGATTGCAATATATCTTTGGTTAGGGTCTATTATTAGGGTGTATTAGATATACAAAAAAGTCTAAGTTTGCTTTTCGTCATAAAATTACGCGGAATTATATTTTGAGGCAACCTTCTGTAGAAGAATAATTTTGATTTTCACTCAGTTAGAGGAACGGCATTAGGCCCAGTCTCATTCGCAACCGTTGTTTGGTCTCGTAACACAACGCGCTCTCTCTCCAACGGGAAATAGAGGGCATTGTGTGACGAGACCAAACAACGGCTGCAAAGTAGACAACAGTAAGTATTTAGACAATAGGCCACAAAATCTGTGTGATTTCAGATAAAGTAATCTTTTTCTGTCTTTGTCTTAGGGGGAAGTAATACGATATTTTCTTTCTTTGGAAAGTTATGCTTTTTTCGGTTGCAAAAATGAAAGCATTAAGTACACATACTGTCCCATCTCTACCCACCCAGCCAAAAAAAAAACTCTTGTATGCTACGCATGCTTATGTTTTATTTGATTAAAAAAACTCATAAATTCGTAACATAAATCCATTAACATGTTCACTCCGTTTTTATAGGCACAAATCAAAACTGAACCTTGCAAGACAAATGAAGAAAATGAAGGAA